CACACATAGAGTCCTGCCAGTTGATGTTTATAGTTACCATTCCAGAGTCTGGATCAATCTAGTGGCCAGTCAGATTGGTCGCAGAGGGGAGCCAGGCTCTGTCGGCCGTGATCTGATGCTCCTGGAGTGTAGCAAGATGAACCCAAAGTCCTATGGCAAAGCGCCCTGTTCTTATAGTCTTTTTTCTCTGTTGAAGTCTATGGATTTTGCTGTGTCAGTTTTTGACCGGTTATCTCTTAATTGGTGTAATCTTTTGATGTAAACTTTCCAATACACCTCTGAGAGGGTCATCCTGTCCTGGTTTCGATTTAATCAATTGTCCTGTCCTTAGGGGTGCTAGCCTTCACCTCAGGGTCATCAATCTTCCCTTCCTTCATTATGGATACGCATTGATGGTTCTTCACTCCTTCTTCCTTGACCATCTGGCTATAACAATGGCCTTCACACCTTATCTTTTCCTGATGCATACATTCCTCATTCACACAGTCTTTTACAGTTAAAGGTATACAGCAGTTTTTATGTTGAGCAAGAAAAGACATTGTAAATTAAGCCTTCCTAAATCACATTGGGGCCCAGGCCTTCAACATTCCTCTAATCTTCTTAACATAGACACAATACAAGATCCTGTCTCTTACTTTCTAAACCTTAAAACAAAGAAATGTATATTTAACTAGAGTGCCTAATTTGTAATACATATAGGAAACCATAGTAGACATTATAACTTATCCTAAAACAAAAGGGTGACCATAATCAGTCATAAGGATTGTTCTGGTCTGTCATTCCTTTCTGCTATTTAAAGAGGGTAGCTGGCAGGATGAAATCAAATCATACAGTAATTCTCATAGTACAGTTATAAAATCCTGCTCCTACAAACCTTCTCCAAGATCTTCTGTTGGTGAAAGACAAGCTTTTGAGCCTACTCAGAGCTCTTCTTCAGATCTGGGAAAGGTACTCAATTTTACAGCTAAATACAATGTGGAATAGATTGTTTAGCATAAGTAGTTAATACACATTGTAAGGGACCATTCAAGGTGAAGTGGCCAATTAACACCTCTACGGTCATAGGACAAAAAAGACGAGTTAGTAGGTTACAGGTTCTTGTAGTAATCCGTAGATCCAATGTCTTTATTAAGTCCGTGATTTTTAATGTGTAGCTAAGTTATGACTTTTAAGCTCACAGCTCATCTATAGAGAGTGTTGTGCAGATTTCCTTTGAGGATGAGGACTGAGAAGTCAAATATGGAGTGACTGCTTTGTGAAAAATTTCACCCCGGGGTGATATGGTGCTCTTATCTTATATCGTTTTTCCGTGTGAGTTCATTTGAAAGCGTAATGATTGTCTTGTTTAAGCCACATAGTTGATATTGGGGCATTTAGTGCACAGGATGAGGTACCCCACATTTTGTGATAGGCATGTAGGAGCCATGTGTGACCGGGTGCCTGGGATAGACCACACTGAGGGCATGCTGCAAAAAATAGGGCAGACAATCCTCCAAAACTGTGATTTATTCTATAATTAGATTCACCAAGCCAGTAACAAAAGTGCTTTTGCACTACCACACTGGTTAACCAGAAGCCAAACACAGTCTGTTTTAAGCATTTCAGCCCTTGACTCCCATCCAGACAATCAAATCTACTATAGTGAGAGGTTACTGAAAACACATTTCACCATATGGGAGGTTCTTACTGATCCCAAAGTATCGGACACTTACCCCAGCTCAATATGTATCTTAGATCTTACCCAAATATCATGCTGTCAGCCAATCCTTAGTAAACTAACTGAAGATTTATTAATAAAAGAAAAGAAGAGAGTTATAAATGGTTAATAGAACACATACATTCTGTGATAGACCCAGACCAGTTGGGAACAGCAGAGTAGCAGAAGGGAGATACACTGGCCACTGGATAAGTAGTTTTCTGTTCCCTGAGTGACCAGAGCAGGGGCTGCTCCAGGCTAATAGACCACCTGACTCCAATTAACCTGCTAAGAGTCAGGTGAGGCAGTTAAGCACCTGACTCTAATTAAGGCCCCTCTGATGCTATAAAAGGGCTCACTCCAGTCGAGCCAGGGAGCCAGAGGAGAGGAAGTGTGTGCTGAACTGGGAGCAAGAGGTGTGCAAGAAGCTGAGAGTGAGTAGGCGTACTGCTGGAGGACTGAGAAGTACAAGCGTTATCAGACATCAGGAGGAAGGTCTGGTGGTGAGGACAAAGAAGGTGTTGGGAGGAGGCCATGGGGAAGTAGCCCAGGGAGTTGTAGGTGTCGTGCAACTGTACCAGGAGGCACTCTAAACAGCTGCAGTCCACAGGGCCCTGGGCTGGAACCCAGAGTAGAGGGCGGGCCCGGGTTCCCCGCATACCTCCCAACTCCTGATCAAACACAGAAGGAATTGACCTGGACTATAGCTTCTACCAGAGGGGAAGGTCTCTGGACTGTTTCCTGACCCACAGGGTGAATCTGTGAAGCAAGCAAATCCGCCAATAAGCACAGGACCCACCAAGGTAGAGGAGGAACTTTGTCACAATACAAATGATTACAAAGTCCTTATATCAGGTTTTTAGCAGTGATGGAATAGACTGCTGGCTTGCAAAGTCTGTCTGGTAACCTCCAAAAGATTGGAAGGTTCTCAGTCCATAGTTCAAGATGCTACTTTTTGTTGTAAATCCACAGTCCAGAGAATTAGACCAGGAAAGAGGCAAAATGGAGGTGTCTCAGAGGTCTTTTATATCCTTTACCATGTGCATGGAAGTTTACTGTCCCAAACAAAGCCCGCAGCCTGCGTACATGGAAAGTAACTGGCCCAAGATGGAGTCCAGGGTCATATGTCCTTACATGCCTTTACATACTTTGCTGTCTCACGGGGCAGCAATTGCCCATACTCTTTCTGAGACATCCACAGGAAAGGATTACTCGGTGGGATGAATTTCTTCAATGGCCCATTATGAGCGTGGTGTGTTCTTAATTGGCCATCAACACATGGCTGTCTAGCCCTGATGGAAAAGTATAATCTATGAAAATCTATCTGTAGGGTGTTGTCCAGGAACAAAACACATGTTGGAGATACAAATACATAGCCAATATTCATAACTTTAGATACAAAGATGATATGCATATAAACAGGATAATCCTATGTGATAGATTGCAACTTTTCCAGTGACACTTCACATGATACACTTTGTAGAAAAATTGTTGCAATTGTATAACAGTGGTAACAATGATACATATGGTCATTTTTCTTATACATAGAATCACACCATCAGTCTTGAAAGGTGTGGTGGGGGATATTTATCATAGCACTGGAGATATTTTCTAATTGCTGTCATGTTCCAATAACTTTTTTGGCAGAATCTGGAGTACCACATGGATCTACATATCCATTCCATTATTTATATCACTGTGCCCTGTGTGTGCAGAAAGTCTGCAGGAGAACAACTAAAGAGTTGTGAGCCTGGAACTCAGTTGCATAGTGTTGTCCAGTATTTAGCTCATGGTGGTCTGATTCTTCTTTCTCTAACGTTCCGGAGACTCCCCCTACTTTTATATAGTACAATAATATATATCCATTTTATGTGTACGTATGATGGCGTTCCTTAGCTTTTTTTTTTTTTTTTTTTTTTTAATGGGTTGTTCTTGGAATAGATAAGGTGAATTTTCACATGTTGATATTATTCAACTGAATATATTAACTGTAAGGGTAACAAAATATTGAAATAAATTACTTTAATCGGTCATTTGAGTTATTTTCAATTCTTGCTATTTTTAAAGGGTATATATTATTTACTGTAGTAACTTTTAACTGTAAACTTGTATGGGATTAAGTAAGTATGGTAGTTTTTTCCCTGGGTGTCTTTTATCCATCCAGACAACAATTCTTCAGTTGTTTCTGACTTTACACATTTAGGGACCATCATCAACTGTCTGTTCTTTAGGTTGAATTTATATTACAGGTCATCCATTTAGTTTCTTAAAGCTTTACAATCCTTGATAATTTTTGTTATCATGACTGGATGTGAAATAGCATGCACAGCTTAGAAAGTCAGGTCATATAAATAAAGAGTTAACAGTTTGGTCTTTATCCACATTTTTTATAACTATTTTTAATCAAGTTTGTTAATTAAAATGGTTTAATTTGGTGCTTTGTAATATCATCAGCTGTCTCACACATGCTTTTCTATTGGTGGAAGATTTGAACCCATAATAAAAATCTCTTGGTGGTTTTGACCAACATTATGTCTAGTTAACAAGGATGAAACAAATTTTGTACTGATGAAACAAATGTATTTGTTTTTAATAAATAATATATAATTCAATTTTAAATTTAGGCTGCAAGGTAATATTGGCAATAGTGCTTGAAATGGAGTCACTTTCCTGCTCTTCTGAGGATGTTAGTCAGCCATCACATGGTAAGTTTCCTATAAAGACTTTGTATTGTACAGTTTTCAGCTGGTTCAGACTTTTAAAGCCTTCAAACAAGATTTAAGGAATTGCTTTATTTTTATGTTTTTTAACTGTACTTAATTTGTTTTTTGCTTGTTTGGCTCTCCTTGTGCCCACAGTGCTGCTTCACAATCCTGTTGTGGAGGGAGTGCTATAGAACGCTTAAACTCAAGCCACTACCTACTCTTGGCTCTTCTTCCCCTGAAGTTCAAGTTCAGTTCCTCTGTCTGGAAAAACTGAAATTGATTAGATTTGAAATTAAGTGTCCTTTTAAATTAAATTTTAAATTCTGCAGAAAATGATGAGTGGGACCCTTTTCACCAAGGTACATTTCCTACTTGCCACCAGTGAGTGGATTTGTGAAGTCCTGCTTGTAACCCATGGTTACAATCTATTGAGGAGAAAATTGAGCAGTTAGAGGGTAATTTTCTTTATCTAATAAAATTAAAGAATTTAAGAATCTGATTTTTAAAAAATAAAAAGGAAAAGTGAGCTTGCTCAGTTAAACAAGTGAGTTGAAGAAAATCAGGAACTGCAACTTTCACAGCAATATTAATTTGGCCATATCCTTCATGTTTTTGGAAATATATTTCAAAAATATTAATCTAGTACAGATTTAACAAAGAAATTGGGAATAGAAGATTCTACATATTTACTATAAATTAGAAATAATGTTGTTCTAGGACTCTTAACTCTTGCATTTCCTGGTATTTTCCCATTTTAACTGTGCAGCCTTTGAGCCAGATAATGCCTTTTAGATACTGGCCCACATTATGCATGATGTAGAACTGCAGTATTTCAGGGGGACCTGTGAGAGAGATTGTGCCTCAGGGCATAGGGGGAGAGCAACTGCTGCATTACTGGTTAGGAGAGTGCAACAGGGTATAGCTAGCTAGCTCCAGGTACAGTCATCCATATTTTCTTCCAGAGGCAGTGTTGGATGTTTATTGTAGTCAATTATCATGCCAACATTTTCTGCAGGGTGTCATTCCTATCCTGATAATGCCCTTCACCACAAATTTTGGTTAAAAGGTCCTTGGTTTTTATCTGGAATGGGTTAAAGTCATTAGAAAAGTCCATCCAAATGTTTGTTTCATTTGACACCAAGAGATAAGGTGAAACTTTCTCCAAGAGAATTATATATAAATGGCTGTCTCGTATCATATTCATTGTTATAACAATAAATCAGATTAAGATGTATCTGAATCTTCAGAGCATATGAAGGTATATGTACGTCAGGTACATCAGTGATAGTAGCTAGCCTGGCATCAGTTTATATCCAGGAGTTCTGCAGGACAGCCACATGGCATTCTCTATATTTTCTTCAAAACTCTCGTTTGGATTCAGTATCTTGGCATGATTCCTGGTTTCTTCAATAGATGACATTTTGGGTCAGACTCTGATACCCTTACTTAAGTTGTACACTCCCTTACTCAGCAGGTCATAAGATATTGCTGCATGTGAGTCAGGTGGCACAATCTGGTTCTTTATCAGGTAATAGAATTGAGTAGGGGGCTCAGGGAAACCTTATAGTTTTTTAATGTAAGTGTTTGCTTAAAATGGTTTATTCCTGGGATAGTTTCACTGCCCCAAAATGAAAAGGATTGTTTTATGCTTTCATTCCTCCAAAAAGTAAAAGTGTACACTGGCTAGAGCTAGGTGTAGTATATGCAGAGCTGCCAAGCAGGTCCACCAGAGATATTCTTTCACCTTTTCTGTTCCACTTTGGACCTTTCTAGAGCAGAAGCTGGCACTGGTTTCCTGTTATTTGTCATTGTCATTTTCCTGATTTGGACAATAATCCACTAAGGGCTAGAAATAAACCATCAAACTCATTTCACTTGTGATGAGCTGTAGATGGAGGAATGCATTAAATTGCTTTTTGGCCTCAGACTCCTTTGTCTTGTCTCTTTTTTTTTTTTTTTTTTTAAGTTTCTTCCTCTTTGTATTTTTCTATACTTTCTTGAGTTTCTCCTTTCACCTTTTAGATTGTATTTTTAATCCTCTGCCAACTTCTGCTTGCAGTTTTTTAAAATCTGAAATGTGATGTTTGCTGTTGTAAATGACAATGGGCTAGAACTTTGTGCAAAATGCATTCACATTGTTAGAGCTAGTTGCTATGTCTTCTTAATCATAAAACCAAGATTTATTACTTGAAAATTAATAAAAAAAAGCTGACATTTGTATGTGACTTTTGGTGTGCATTTTGTTTTCAGGTAAGAATAAAGAGATGCTCCTAGGTTACCCCACCAGGCGTCGTAGTTGTGCTTTAGTAAATACTCCATCTCCATGTGTTAACAAAGCTATTCATCACATTCAAGAGCTGGAAGTAAAGATAGAAAGCTCCTTTCAACAGGTACTATATGACTAAAAATTGTCAAATATTAATAGAATCTTGGGTCTGAATAGATAACCAGATTGTATCTTTGGAAAGCATTACTATTTTATAATAATGGAAAGTAGTATACTCTTTCTAAACCAGTGTCAAGCTAGTTCATTTATTAGTCAAGACATCTTTTTAGCTATGTACAGTCCTGGAGGGTCAAACTACCTCATTAAAATCAAGCTGTCTTCTATCTGTTTCACACATCATCATCCAAAGGCACATAGAGGACATCTTGATTTTCCTAAGCCAAATTGTTCCAGTATATTGCATGGTATTCAAAAAACTTTTTTTGACACTAAACTAACTAGATAAATAAATTGATCTATGCACCTCTGTGTCATTTTTAATAAGTGATTTTGTTTTCTAGCAACATTTAATAGTTCTTTGATTTAAAAATAAAAGGCAGTGTTTCTTTATTCTAATGTCCACTAAAAAGCATGTATTGATAACACTGCATCTAATTTTCTCTTACCTGGTTATATGTTGGTAGAATTGAGACTTATGCATCTTCTTTTCCTAGAGCTTGGTATGTAGGATTTCCCAAACTTCGGGAAACTTTGCAGGAGGATTGGAAGGTGGCTTGCAGCAGGCATATACATTTTAAAAAAGAATATGAGTAGGGAAGCTAAGTTGAGTGTGAAAAGAAGACATGAGGGAGGTGATACATACTGGCAGATAGGTAGAAGAAAGGTAAAATGCATATGTGCCTGTATAGTACAATAACAGGAAATTTGCCACACACTTCTCTGGGAACATGATCAGGGTCATTGAGAGTATATACTTTTATATGAGGAGGTTTTTCCAAATAGCAATTAGTAAAGTTCAAGGGAGAACCTACCCTGTCTCCTTCATGTTTTTGAAGAAAGTGGAGAAACTGTATGAAAGATACATTGCAAAATTGGGTAATAGATCATGTATAGAAAATGGCATCTATATTGGTATTCTTTTGTATTGACAAAGACTGTTTTTGAGTATTAACATTATTTATTCATAATTTCTGGCATGGTATGGAGCAGCTATTACTAGACTTTTCTTTTTTAAAAAAAAGACTCTTATTTAGGGTTGGTTATCATTTCTCTTATTTAACTGAAAGGATGTTAGAGTCCATATATATTTGGGATCTACACAATTCCAAAGACACATTAGCTATAATTATTTTTAAAGCAGGTAAAAACAAATTCATGTTTATGTACATTGACATGCCCCTCTTGCAGTGTAAAGTTTAGTGACCTTTTACATTAGAAAACATGTATTTGACCAAGATGCCTTAGTGAAATTTATCTTTTATGTTTGCAGCATGATCGTACACTTGAGAAGGAGAAAATTCCGTGGTAAGAATTATACATGATTTTTGTTTTAATGCCAGATAATTGTTTGATAAGTTAGTCTGCCTAAAAACCACACTATATGAACTTCAGCACTTCACACATTTTCCACCCTGCTTTGAATGGAACTATAATTACCATACTTTTTTTTTTAGGTAGCATTTTGGGGAGCTGGATGACTCAGGGGATCAATAATGGTATATGGAGCATTTGACCTAAATGACAAGTTGATATCATGGGGATTTGTTAGGTGCTCATCACGTCTGAAAATCAGGTTGCTTAGTTAGGTGCTAAAATATGGAAGTTGTAGATTTACTGTAAAGTCTCATTTTTAAAAATCTTGGCCTTGAAGTATTAAGTGTGACGGAAAGACTAGTTATGATAAACCATACTTCATTGCAATGCTCTGTGATATTTGTAAACTCATGTAGTTCTGTGTAAATTTTCTTAAACTTTCTTTGATTTATATGTAACATTTATTGAATTTGTATAAGAGATCAGTTACCTCAGATGCTGTTTAACTATTTAAGAAGCCTCAGAAAAGAGGACAGACAATTCCAAAACATGGGTAGAGGAAAAAGTCCTTTGAAATTGACAATGCTTGGTGACCGATCATACTGAGAGGAAATAGACATTTTTAATCATCTCCCTCAAATTTCTCATCCTACATAGTTTTAAACTTTACACTAAATAAATACCTTTTCGTACTTTCAGTATTATTTGTGACCTAGTTGTGTGAGTTTCAAAATCTTTCATCTTTGGTTGGCAGGGATGCTTTTAAGGATCAGGCAACCTTAATAATACCAACTCCATCTATATATCTGTTTTTAGAACTGCCTTTTTTCACTTTGTTAAATCATTTATAACAGCAATAACATGAAAGAATGGGTGGAGGCTGGATTCCGATCTCTGTTCGACAGTGTAAATCCAAAGTAACTCCATTGTCTTCAGTGATTTTACTCCAGATTTACACTAGTGTAACTGAGAACAGATCCTATTTGTGTTCATTGGTCAATATCCAGTATCTTCTCAGGTATGCATATATGAATTTGACATTGACTTAATTGAAATCAGGACTAACTGTTATTGGCCAATGAACATATTTTTTATTTGCTGAGCCCTCCAAATGTTCTAGACATCATACAGCCAAATAAAAAAGCATCGGACCTGCCCTGAAGAGTTTGTAGTCTAGTAACATTAATTTAGGCCCCAGTCCTGCAAACTGCTTTGCCTGAGGGAACCTTTACTCCTGTGCAGACAACAGTGTAGTTAATAATCTGCTATGCAGGTCAGGGATCTGTCTGCATGGAGCTGCTTTGCAGGATTGGGTCCTGGCAGACAAACCAAATAAAGAGACCTAAGACTTCCCCATCATTATCTCATGACTAAAGCTGAATTCCACTTTTTCTTAACCCCAGCCTAGTGTCTGTTGCTTTGATGTTATTCATCGTAGCCTATTGTCGCTATGTAGAGTATTTTAACCCTTCCTTTTTCTGAATTTTGATTGTACTGTTTTTAAAAAAAAATGTATCTAACCGTTGCCATTTTAGTGTTTTGAATAACTCTTTCCTTTTTTGTTTTAAAAACTATATTTAACGTTTGTTTACTCTGTTTTGTAGTTTTAATTACCATATATTTAACCCATGCCTTTTGGCTTTATACATAATCTTTTCTTATTTTTAAATATAATTTTTATGCATTTTATTTTCTATTTTTGAATATTTTTTATACTTATGCAGTATTTGTATTAAAAAATTGCTTTTAGCACTACTGTATAATTTTGTTGTTAGTAGTATTGGTAAATTCCTTTTAACCCTCGCCTAATTTATTGTAACCCTTGACTGTCAAATGTTTTAACACATTTTCATCCATAGTCTGTTTTCAAATATTTATAATTTATTTTAACAATTGAAGAATAACACCTCCTACCCTCTCTACTATTTTGAGAGAGCCATCAACTAAATTTTGGTGCCCCTTTCCCCTACTCCTTCCCAATGTGAGAGAGAGTGAAAATGAGGAAAAGTTCAATTGATATCAAGCTACTGGGTGCGCAGATGACTGTTTCTGGTTGGCTGCTGATTTGCTGAGTTATTTTTTCCTCCATTGGTATCCTACTGTTAATTGAATTGTCTCGTTAGACTGACCTTTCACTTGGTAAGGCAACTGCCGTCTTTTCATGCATTTATACCTGCTCCTGTATTTTCCACTCCATGCATGGATGAAGTTGGTTCTAGCCCACGAAAGCTTATGCCCAAATAAATGTGTTAGTCTCTAAGGTGCCACAAGGACTCCTCGTTGTTTTTCCCTGTTTTCAGTTTCCTGAGATCCAGGAATGCTCCATATGGCTGGGGAAACATGAATGGGAAACTAACAGGCTCCCAAGCTATGCATTGAGTTCCCTCCTCCTTTCATTGAGTCTGAATGTTCTGCTTGGGCTTCTTCTGGTGTTCTTAACAATCTTTGAACTTCTCCCCTTCTGATGTTTTCCAGGTGTCTCCAGTAGCAGTCCTTGGCTGATGTTCCAAATCCTATTTTTCTGTATCACTCTTTTCAGATTCTGGTACCTCCTTCCAGTTTCACAAGACTCTACACACACTCTAGCCTTCCCAAAAATTCTTAGTCTCTGGTCCTCCCAGTGTTTCCTTTCCACTCAGTATTCTTTCCTTCTTCTTTCCAAACTTCCAGTCTCTTTAGTTCCCGTCCTATCACTCCTTCTTTGTCCTGTCTTCCTTAAGGACCTCAGCTCTCTGTCTTCTTCTTCCCCTCCTCCCCTCTTTTATCCCCTCATTCATCTTTTCTCCATATCTGGGGTCTTAATTATCTGAAGGTGTTAGCTGTCTGGTGCTGTGGCTGCAGCTGTTTTTGAATCAACTATGTCCTTCCTGCCATTTCACTCTCAGCTCTATGTTCTCTCTTTCTGGGGCCTGGTCTACACTAACCCCCCAAGTCGAAGTAAGGTACGCAACTTCAGCTACGTGAATAACGTAGCTGAAGTCGACATACCTTACTTCGAACTTACTGCGGTTCAGACGCGGTCCACACGCGGCAGGCAGGCTCCCCCGTCGACTCCGCGGTACTCCTCTCGTTGAGCTGGAGTACCGCAGTCGACGGCGAGCACTTCCTGGTTCGATTTATCGCGTCCAGACCAGACGCGATAAATCGAACCTGGAACTTCGATTGCCAGCCGTTGAACTACCCGGTAAGTATAGACCAGCCCTGGGTCTCTTTCATACTTCCCTTTTGCACTGCAGTTAGACAAGAGGAGGGGAGCTGAGATGGGCTCAGGCAGGGAGTGGGGAAGAGAAAATTCTACTATTGACCCTCCATTCACCCGAAGTGGAGGTCAGCATCTGGCCTCCCAGATTCTGCATTACTCAGAATCTGTCTCCAGCTTCCCTTCCCTCCTCATTTCCTTGGTGTTGACCCCACTTTCCACTGTCTGTGCAAGCTGTATAGGACAGATGGAAATATGTACTGACACATATGGGAGATGGCTGCAGTGGTGTATGTGTAGAACATAGCAGAGGAGCCTCTATGGCTTCAGCAATTGAGCATAAGCACTAAATGCCTGTGTGTAAGGCCCTAGCTCCTGGAATCATGTGATTACACCAGAATTCCAGCTTTCATTTAATAAATAAGTTTCTAGCCCTCATGGTTGTAAAGAAACCCTTGAAAATGTGTATTAAGAGTAACTGATGCAATTACTCATCATTTTAATTGCATGAGTTAAAATGCAATTTTTTAACAGACAATCATGTCTGCCTGACTCAGCAGACAGCTTGAAACAATAGCTCTGAGATGGAAGAGCTGCCCTATGCAACTCAACGGGTGTTAATGCTGAGACTCAGAGCTCTGGGGTGCCCACCAACAACATCCAAGCAGAGGACTTTGGCATCAAGAGAAGAATGCACTGGTCCCCTCCCAGCCCCCCCAGACAGATACATACTGGGTGCTGGGGTAAATATTGGTGGGTCCCTCTGCTGCCACCCTGGTTTTTCGGGTAGGGAAAGGGGGAAACTTCTGCTTCCCTGTGGGAAGTGGGACCTCTGCTGCTGCTCTTGGGCAGGAAAAGGGGCCCTGCATTTGCCTCTCTGGGTGGGGGATCCCTGCCACCACCTCTCCAAGTGGAAGTTGAGCCACATTGTCTTGCTCAAGCCTTTAGTAGCAGATAATTGGTTGGGAACTGTTGTGACAGTTGAAATCAATGCAACAGGACCCGTAAAAGTCAAGGGACTTATAACTGCTGGCTTTTTAGGTGTCAGAAGACATTCCAGCAAACAGTTATTCTCTTTTAAAACAGGTAATAAGCCAATTAATTGAGTACTTAAACCTTATCCTGCTCAGTTATTCATCCTACCTATACCTCTGAAGTGTATCATATATTATTAGAAAGTACAAGATAGAAGCATACCATTTTCAAAATCTCGCAAGACTAGAATGATACATGGTCTTAATTTTCTTTTTCATATTTATTTTCTTGTATAATAGCAACACTCTTTATAGCTTTGCTGTAGGGCAGTGGTTCCCAAACTTTAACAACTTGTGAACCCCTTTCACTAAAATGTCAAATCTCGTGAACCCCCTCCTAAAAATGAATATTTCCAGGGATTTTCTCCTTTACCTGAGCATAAATTATAAAAGCAGTGATCTTGGAAATATAAAATTTGTTTTTATGACATGCTTATTACACACTATTTATTAATTATTATTTATAATTACACTATTTTTATTACATTATGAAAACGGCAACACTCTTCCAAGATCTCACTTCCATAGCTTGTATCACTTTGAATAAGCCTGTCATCAAGGAGTATCAGATTTGAAACAGCATGAAGGTATTTAAGAAGCCAACTCAAAGAGTTCCTCCTACATAAGCATTCAGGTCTTGAGTAGTCCAGGCAAACAACGCACGTTACAACAAAGCTTAAACTTGTTCTTTATAATAATTTTAAAAACAATACTACCTGACTATTTAATTTTAAAAACAGCAAAAAATATCCACCTCC